ATGTCACCCAGATACCACCTAAGGGCCTTCCCACAGGCGCTGTCCATAGTCTATAAGGTGCAGGTCTCCACTCCTCACTTCACTTAAGTCTTTGCTCAAAGCATCTTCTCTTTCTACAATAGCAACTCCTCCTTATGCTCTCCTCCTTTCCCTAGCTTCCACTTTTCTTCATAGCCCTGTATCACTAAAGTGGATGTCTCAAGAGGGTTAGCGCTGCCTACTCTGTTCATTGCTGTACCCAGTACCCAGAACAGTTTAAAACAAGCAGGTGTTCAACACACAGGGCATGCAGGATGAGTGAGAGTCATCCCTCGGAGGGAGGTGAAGAAACCCACAGAGTGGGAGCTGACAGGACCCCGTAGAGGGGGAGGTGAAGAAACCCACAGAGCCCGGGGTGACGGGGCCCACAGAGCCCGGGGTGACGGGGCCCACAGAGGAAGGTGGAGCTCCACCACTCACCACTGTGCAGCTTCATGTGCTCCTTCAGGTGTTTCTTAAAGTTGAAGGACTTCCCACAGGCTGGCTCTGGGCAGGAGAAAGACTTCTGGTGGATGTGCTGGTACTTTTTGTGGTGCTAGAGAAGGAAGTGGGTGGTAGGGAGAGAAGAGGCAAAAGGATAGCCACCCTCCACAGGGAGATCAATTGAGCTGACCCAGCAGGCATGCTCCTCTGTCCCCTTCCTGGCCCCGGTGCCCCAGCAGTTCTCCCTGTCATGGCTCATTTCCTTGAGGCTCAGTCCTTACCTCCACCATGAGCCCCACACCCATCCCATCCTGACCACTCAACTCTCCTGTCACCCTGTTCTGTGCTTGACTTCCATGATCTCAGCTCCTTGTCACACTCTCACCCTGCAATGTTCCCTGTACAAAGTATCACTCTGGGTGACACCCCTGGTTCACCTAATCATGAATGCACTATCTGCTGTGGAGGGGAAAGCGGTTTGGGTAAGTATGATTATCCCATTTGATGTCAATATTCACGTGCAACAGTATCTCCCCAACTGCCTGCTTTTTAATACTTCGCCATGGATATTTGTGATTTTCTTCTAAATCTGCTTTGGAAACACACACACACACACACACACACACACACACACTCAACCTAGAACACTATTAAGGGTAACAGGCTCTTCAACCTTAACTCCTAAATATCGAAGTTATTTCTCTTTTCACTGGCCTAAGTTGGCATCCTCACTCACTAAATTGCATGGGCTGTCCCCTTCTTTAGAATCCCGTTTTTCCACAGTTAAACTTCCAGGGGCTGCTTTGGTCTCCTCCATAACAGACTCCAGAAGGTCTGACATGCCCTGCTGAATGCTCTTCTCAGCCTAGAGCTTCCCTGTCATCCCGGTCGTTCTCCCTTTTCACTTGATTCCTCTGTCATCTTCTGTGGGCAGCACTCTCCGTCTTCTACTCTCACCTCACCATCCCAGTGTCTGTGGCCCTCCCCACCCTTGGCACCTGCTGTTCCAAGTGCTCTGGCTGACTGTAGGGATTGGACCCTTCCCCCTGTGCCTCAAATTTCTCAGCCAGTGAGTGAGATTGGGGACAGGACCATCTCCTAGCCCACTTCACTCTAGGAATATCCTCTCAAGCCAGGATATGAGGCAGCCCGGGCATGGACTCTGAAGCCAGGCCACCAGGCTCAGAACCCTAGCACTAAGACACACTAGCTGAAGAGCCTTGAGCAACGCCTAACCTTTCTGTCTGCAAAGTGGGAATAATATCAGCACCTAATCCATGGGGATATTGTGAGAACCAGAAGACTTCACACACGTCAAGTGCCCAGGACTGTCATTAGCACCTCCAGGGGAGCCTGATGCATGCCACTGTCATCTCTGTGTGGCCTCCATGCAACAAGCAGTAGAGGGCCGTGGCTCTGTGCGCCTGAGGCATGGTTTCATCTACCAGTTGTCTGATTCAATGATTACTAATTATAGGAAAGCTCTGCATATCCATCCTAACCCTCTGCTTCCCGGTTCTGAATCCTCCCATGCCTTAAGATCCTTTTCCTCAGTTTCTCTTTTAGCCCTTTTCCCCCCACCCCAGCAGCCACACAGGCCCCAACCTGTGCCCCTCACATTCAAATACTGCCGGTTGGAGAAGATCCTTCCACAGCCAGGGAAGTCACAAGGCATCAGCTCTCTTTTGGCAGCTTTCCTGGGGAGAAGAATGGAGAGGAGCAGGATGACTCCTGCCTGCCCTTCTCTGCCTCCCTCCTGTCGGCCCTCCCCAGAACCCCATCTCCCCAAGTCCTACCTAATTCTCTTGGGGCCGATCTGTGCAGTGTCCTCATCCCAGGCCGGGGTTGGAGCAGACTGGGCCTGACTCCCAGTGCTATGGGCAGCAAAGAGGGAGCAGAGGGCCTCGAGGGGGGGCCACATCCCAGAACGCCCCTGCCCTTTCTGTCTCAGCCGTCAGGTTACCTGGCCAGGGCCTCGGTCTGCTGGGCCGCTTGAGGGGTCCTGCTGAGCTCTGGCTGCACCCCGACTTCTGCAAGTGGAGGAGCTCTGGAACCCAGTGAGGATGCTGACAAGGATGGCACAGCAAGAGGAGGGGAGAGTGCTGCAGGGGCTGGTGGTGTCTCCCCCTCTTTAGGCGTGCAGGTGACAGGGGAAGGGAGGAGTCTGGGGGCATCAGGCTCACTACTGAAAGGAGAACAAAGAGGAAGATGGCATTAACTCTCTGGGCAGTCAGCTAGCCCCAGCCCGACCCTAGCCCCTAAACTGAAAAGACCTCAAACCTGAAACAACCCTACCCCCACCCTAGGCTCCCCATTCATATCTGCTTTCAGCCCTCAGTCTCCCTGCGCCTGACTTCACCCCTTTTCACCCACGCAGTTCAAAGCCTCTAGTTCTTTTTGCCTTCCCCAAAACCCACCCTTCCCTCCACACCAACAAGCCCTTCCCTCTAGTCTGCAAAGCTATGAACTGCCAGGCCAGCCGCCTCCCTCTCCTGCTCTGCTCAGCATTCTCCCTCAACCCCAACTTGCTCATCTGGGGAGGAGCTGTAGGTCCATAAGCTGGCATCACTGAGCATCTCCTCTTCATCCTCATCATCGTCCTCTTCTTCCTCACCCTCTTCCTCTCCTGGAGGTGGGAAGGTCTCTGGTGGGGGTCCCACCCTCCTGCAGTCCCAAAGAAAGCAAGTCTGAGGTCCTGCTCCCTCATCTTACCATCTATGCAATTCCGCCCTTTCCCTCCTACTCACATCCTCACCTGGGCAACCTGGCTTCTTGAGTCCTCTCATCATGCTCAGATTCCAAATCTGTGGGACAGGCAAAGTCAAAAGGGAAGGAACTCTGGACTCAAGGGATGAGGACATGTAAAGTTCTAAGGTCTGAAGTGATGGGAGACTCCTCTTTTTTTTTTTTTTTTAAATAGAGATGGGGTCTCACTGTGTTGCCCAGGCTGGTCTCAAACTCCTGGGCTCAAGCAATCCTCTTGCCTCAGCCTCCCAGAGTGCTAGGACTATAGGTGTGAACCACTGCACCCAGGCAGAGACTCTTGAGGACGAGGGAGCAGAGGCTATTGGAGTAGGAGGCGTTGTTCTATTTCAGAGATGATATTCACACAGTTCACAAAACTATACAGTCAAAAATCTCCTTTCCAATACTGTCCCCCCATCGCCTACTTCTTCCCACAGGCAACCTGGTTTCCTATGTGCCTTCCAGAGATATGTTATACATTCACAAGTACTTACACACACACACACACACACACACACTCATTTCCCCTTATTTGTATTTTTCACCAGTGATAGCATACCATACACTGTATTTTGTTCTGCTTTTCGTGCCCAACAATGTATTTGATGATATATTTCTTTGTCAACATAGAGTTTTTCCATTGAAAAAGGATGATTTTTAGAGAACAGGGTTCTGAGCTACAGAAAATGGGAAACCTCCTTCCTCCCTTTTCTCCACAACTCTGCTTTTTCCCAGCCTACCTGCAAGCTCCTGCCCACTCGTGGCCTCAGAACACCAACTTCTCCGGGTAGTGTGTGGAAGGGAGGCTGGCTTGGGTGCCTCTGAAGGTGTGGGGCTCAAAGAGGGTCCCCAGGAGAAGGTATGGCCTGCTGAGCACTCCCACACAAGCCCCCCATCTTGGCCGCCAGGCCCCCGAAGGCCGGGCACCAGGCTGCACTCTCGGCTGTGGGCATGAGACAAGAGCACCAGATACTGCAGACGTTTTGGAGGCAAAGGCTCAGGACCTGGAGGGGTGGGGGAAGCAGTCAGGCTGAACTGGGAAGTCTCCTCTCACCCTGGAGAGCCATACCCAGGGAGCCCTGTTCCCTCAAACGCCAGGGCAACCTCAGCCACAGTCCAATTTATCATTCTTCAGAACCTAGACACACTAGATCCTGAGACATTGCTCCCTTCCCCACCCAGAGGTTGCTCCCATCAAACTACTCCGTGCTCCCCAACTTACCCCACCCTTCCCAAACTCACTCAGGGCTCCCTTTGAAAGGAGGGTGTTTCTGGGTCACCCTGTGGCCCCTCTTCCCTCTGGCTCTCACCCCCTGCCATCCCCTACCTACCTGCACAGAGGACACAGCCTGAAGAAGTGTACCTGCCAGGAGGAGAAGAGGCAGGTCAGGACTCAGGTGGCCAGCCACCCTCGGCCCTGGGCACCCACACATGTAAGGGGCCAGCCCTAAGGGCCGCTATTCGCTGAGACCATGAGGAGGGGAGCAGGACCCTGGGAGGCCACAGGTCACACAGGCCGTCCTGGTACAGTGAGAAACCTGAGGGTGGAAAAGAGCAGCAGGACAGGCCCTGGAGAGGAGGCTAGGGGCTGCTGCCTGGGTACCCTCCCCCAAGCCCCTCTCCCGGCCCCTAACCGGTCCAACAGGAACTTGGCGAGCTGCGAGTGCAGGGAGAAGCCCAGCCGCTCCTTGAGGAGGCACCACTGCTCCATGTGGCCGCCCAGGCGGATGCGGCACTTGCTGCGGCGCGCGTCCAGCTGCCGCCGCTTCTCCCGCCGCCTGCAGGACACGTCCACCGCCGGGGAGGAAGCCATGTGCACCGAGGCTGGAGGGTGGAAGATGTCTTCAGCGCCCAGCCGATCCTGGGGCCCGAGGACCCGGCTCCACCTGTCGTTGGGGCCTCAGTTTCCTCATCAGTGAGGAAGACTCACTGATCTATGCAATTCCGGGGCAAGACTAAACTATTTCAACAGCAGTGGCAGGTGTGGAGCAAACCCCGTCCTTCTGCGATACAGGGTGTGGAAGCTCAGCGCTACCATGTGGGTGTCGCCGGGGGGGAGGCCGGCAGACACAAGCAGGCAGAACAAAGGCCTGCGCCCTCCAGTCCACTGAAGTGTAGCCGTGGGGAAGGAGCGATAGACTTTCACGGCAAATTTCAACTGGGCTGGGGGGGGTCCACACATTTCATCTTGAAGAGGGCAGCGGCCTTTACTGCTTTGTAGGGGAAGGAAAGGTCGCGTCCTGGCGTGCAGCTGGGGTCGCTCTTCACAGTTGGGTCGAGTGACGGTGGGGGCCGGGGTCAGAGGTCTGGAGGGCGCCCCCCACCCCGTCTTGGGCACCCCCACTTAATGCTGGCAGTGAGTGGAGCGGACCAATCCCAATTGCAGCTCCCAGGTTGCCCAGAACCCCGTCGCGACCCACCCCCACCCCGACCTCACCTGTGCGCCCCCAAGCGCCCTCACCCCGACTGCGCCTGCGCCTGCGCCTCCCGGGCGAGGCGAGCAGGCCCGGAGCTGCTGGAAGGCAGGGGCCCACCTCGCGCGCGCAGCGTTTCTCTTTTAAGAAGAAACGGTGCTTCTCGGCGTCGGCTGCGGTATCCCGGAACTGAGGCCTGCGCCCCAGAGGGAGGGGCGAGTCGGAGGCCGACGGCGTGCGCCTGCGCACTGGGTGCCCCGCGCAACGCCCGCCGGGAACCGTGGTTCCCCGACCCGAGTCGCCCGCGCGTGTCACGGAGCCCCGCGGCAGTTGTGGTTGCGTCGCTTCTGTGGTGAGCGTCTGCGCTTGGTGACCAAAGGTTTGCGGGAAAGTGGAAGAGACAGGGTCAGGCCTCCTGCGCTCCAGCCCCAGCCCATCGGCCTGTCTGGGGGCGTTGCCTCTTCACTTGTTGCCGTTTTGTATTCACCTTCCATTTCCCCTCACAGTTGCCGCCCGCAAACGTGATGCAGAACCAGTCACTTTGAAAGCCAGCGGAGCCCTCTGGACCGCAGAGTCCCACAGTCACAGCCCACTTCTGTTAGCATCAGAATTCCTCCTCAAAGTCGCCGGCATTCTCTGTGGACTCTCGCTTCCCATCCTCTTCTCTTCAAACGGCTCTGACGGAGCTTTCCTCCCCGCCCAGCCACTGCAGTGGCGCTCCACAGGGTCACTGGCGACGGTCATCTTGCCACATAGCAGCTGTCAGTTCTGTCCGCCTCCCTGCCCTAGAAAGAGCGCGACTATGTAGCTCGCGTCTTCGTCAACCTTATGGCTCCCTCTACATTTTTTGGCCCCAGTTTTACTTCTCTGACTTCCTATGCTCCTGGTTTTCCACCCTCCTCACTGGCTCCCTCTTTCCTTTTTTTGGATCCATTCCCTCTGTTCTGCCAAAAGATGAAGTGTGCCCTGGCTCAGGCCTTGAACCAGATCTTCTCTCGTCTGCAGATGTTCTCTTGGGTGATCTAATTAGGTCCGTGGATTTAAATACACGATGGCTCCTAGCCTAGCCTTCTTTCAACTCCAGTCATATATCTTACTGCCCGCTTGACTTACCTGTGTTAACTGAGCTAACACATGTAACGAATTTAGGACAGTGCCTGGCATGTAGAGAGCACTGACACATGATAGCTGATTTTTCTCCCACATAAATATGGCAAACATGTAACAATAATGCCTGTACCCTCCACCATGTCAGTAAATGAAGGCATCATCCACCCCCTTGCTCAGAAAAAAAGGGAATCAGTCTTGATTATTTGCCTTTTATGACACCTAAACTATATACATCAGCAAATCTTGTTGGTCCTGTCTCCAAAAATTTATCTTAAATCCCATCACTTCCGACCCTCTCAATTGCTAAAACCCTACTGCAAGCCACTGGTATTAATTTTCTGTAACTGTTGTAATAAATTGTGTTGTTTTCAGCCACAAATTTGCTCCCTTTAGGCAGATTTATTTTCTCATGGTTCTGGAGGCCAGAAATCCAGATCAAGGCATCAGCGGGGCCACGGGCCATATAAGGGCTCTAGAGGAGAACCGTTTCCTTGCTGCTTCTGGCTTCTAATGGTGGCCAGCATTCTCTGACTTGTGGCCACATCACTCCAATCTCTGTCTCTGAGGTCACATTGCCTCCTCCTGTGCCACATCTCCCTCTGCTTCTCTCTTACAAGGATGCTTGTGAATGCATTTAGAGTCCATCCTTATAATCCAAATAATCACTTCATCTCAGTATCCTAAAGCAATTACTTCTGTAAAGTATTTGCCATATAAAGTAATTGGCTGCACATGGTGGCTTACGCCTGTAATCCCAGCACTTAGGGAGGCCGAGGCGGGTGGATCACTTGAGGTCAGGAGTTCGAGATGTGCCTGGCCAACATGGTGAAACTCTGTCTCTACTAAAAATACAAAAAAAAAAAAAAAATTAGCTGGGCATGGTGGCATGGACCTGTAATCCCAGCTACTTGGGAGGCTGAGGCAGGAGAATTGCTTGAACCCGGGAGGAGGAGGTTGCAGTGAACCGAAATTGTGGTACTGCACACCAGCATGAGTGACAGAGCAAGACTCCATCTAAAATAAAATAAAAGTAATCGCCACATGTTCTGGGGATTAGGACACAGATATCTTTTCCAGGACTATTTTTAAGCCTACGATACCACTATCATCTCACCTGGTCTACGGCTACATCTTCCTAATGGATCTGCCTCCTACTTTAACTTGTACCCTCACAAAGCAGGGATGATTTCCTCAAAGATCAAATCTTTTACTTAAAATCTGTAAGTGGTCTCCAGTGCAATCCAAAACCCTTATCGAGGCCTCAAGGCCCAACTTAATCTGGCCCTTGGCTTCTTCTCTGGCATCATCCCCCAACTTTTCCCACTTTGTCCTCCCACCTTTTTGCTATTTCTCAAGTGTGCCATGTATGCTGGAGGGAGTTATTTTGTCTCTGCAGCACTCATTTCTCCCCACAGCCCCCGCCCTGTCCCCCAGCCCACCACCCAACTCTTCATCTGTTTGCTCCCTTATTGTCATGTGAATCTCTATATAAGATCACCCACTCAGCTATGAAATCCCTCATTCAGAAAGCTCCCTTTCTTCAGTCATGCTCTACTTCACTGTGCCCTATTGTATCTTCTTTGTGGCACTTACTTTCTGAAATCATCTCAGGGACTTATCTGTGTGTTTCGGGGTTTTTTGTTTTTTTTTGAGACAGAGTCTCGCTCTGTCGCCCAGGCTGGGGTGCAGTGGCCGGATCTCAGCTCACTGCAAGCTCCGCCTCCCGGGTTCACGCCATTCTCCTGCCTCAGCCTCCCAAGTAGCTGGGACTACAGGCGCCCACCACCTCGCCCGGCTAGTTTTTTGTATTTTTTAGTAGAGACGGGGTTTCACTGTGTTAGCCAGGATGGTCTTGATCTCCTGACCTTGTGATCCGCCCGTCTCGGCCTCCCAAAGTGCTGGGATTACAGGCTTGCGCCACCGCGCCCAGCCCTGTGTGTTTGTTATTGGTAATATAATGATTGTTGACTAGCCCAGCCTTCTCCTCTGCAGCCTAAATATCTCAAATGACATGGTGTCCAAACATGAACACCCTTAGGATGAGCCCAGTGTGTCCTGTGCATATTCCTTTTGATTTGTGGTATCAGTGACTCGGCCTACTTGTCTGACTAGTGTAAGGTAGGAAAGAAGATGTCCCAGCTACTTTACTCATTAATGAAAGTGTAACTTTTACATCAAAAGAGCAGGACTCCATCGAGAACAAACTTTATCCTTTCCTCAAGGTCCCTAAAAGATATCTGCAAAATCATTGTGATTTCATCAAAGGGAATGAAAGGTCTTATAACTCTTGGTTACTCTTAGAATGTTGGGTCTCACTTTGAGGTCCAAGAACATTCTTGGTTCTCTTGGTTTGATCTTGTTTAAAATAATAAAATGAAACTACTGCCAATGCCCAGCTCTTCAATAACCCTCTCCAAATAAATCTCTCAGCCTCTCTTTAATTTCTTATATCATCTAGGTAAGGAATGAGCCAACTCTCTCAAAAACAGTCATCAGCCCCTTCCTTTGTAAGTGCTACAAAGGAGTGCTAACATTCTAAGGAGGGGTTATCTGTAAACATTGGTTCTCTGCCTTTAGTGACCTCACTGCAGTCTGAGACCTTGAATTCCATCTTAGCATCCCATCACAAAGGCTAAGATTAAATGCAAGCTATTGGTAATGTTTTTACCGTTGAGCTATACAGTTTGCAGACTGCTGAAACTGCCAGTTCTTTTATACACATCAAAGGCTCCATGTGGAGGACACATTTATCTTCATAACATTTATTTTTCCTGGACTACACATGGCACCATAGCGCTCTTCTTATCTCCTGTCTTGGCATACCAAATCTGATATTGCTGTACCCTCTGAACTTTTAGTATCATCTCTCCAAAGAGAAAAACTACTTTCCATTCCCCAGGTGCAAGGAAGAATGAGCCAAATTGCTACAGAAGTTGAGTCAACCCACTGCCCTCAAATCCTGAGACGTATTCCCAGTGGGAAGAGGAACACTCTTTTTTTTTTTTTTTTTTTTTTGAGACGGAGTCTTGCTCTGTCACCCATGCTGGAGTGCAGTGGCCGGATCTCAGCTCACTGCAAGCTCCGCCTCCCGGGTTCACGCCATTCTCCTGCCTCAGCCTCCCGAGTAGCTGGGACTACAGGCACCCGCCACTTCGCCCGGCTAGTTTTTTGTATTTTTTAGTAGAGACGGGGTTTCACCGTATTAGCCAGGATGGTCTCGATCTCCTGACCTCATGATCCGCCCGTCTCGGCCTCCCAAAGTGCTGGGATTACAGGCTTGAGCCACCGCGCCCGGCCAGGAAAGAGGAACACTCTTTCAGGACTTTGTGCCCCAAATTCCACGAGACCCACAGACACCCTTCGCCCAGCCCAGGCCCCAAGTATTTGCATGAATTCTCTCTCTTTCTCAGCTCTCATCCTCTCAGTGACTGGTGTCTTCATCCTCCAACCAGTCATCATTGCTGGGAGTGCAATTCCGTTTCTCCTGAGCTCCTGACAACTTAAGGGTGACGCCTCTACCCTGAGTCTGATCACGCCCTGGTGCGGGGGACCTGGGCCCTCTGTGATGCCGTGTGGCCCAGGGAGGGCGGGGTGGTACATAAGAGATGCCGTTGCCCTTGCTCCTGGCTGGCCCAGCTGCCTGGGTTGGTGCTGTTAGCTTTGGCTCCGGGGCCGGAGGGCAGACGACATGAAGGAGGAGGAAGCCAGCCGCCAAGAGCCTGGCCGTGGGAAATTTGGCGGCTACAGGGGTGCTTGCCGCTGCGGAGCTCGCGACGCCGGCCGCGGAGCAACACGTTGCTCCTGGTGCTGAAGCAGTGCCTGCGCCCCTCGCTGTGGTTGTGCTGATGGCAGCAGCAGCCCGTCTAGCGTGGCCACTGCCCTGATGCTGGCTGCGGTGGGGGAGGCGGCCCGCTCCAGGAAGCGAGTGGGAGCCAGGAACAGGCAGAAGCCCCGCCCGCTCCTGAGTTGACTGGGTGGGAGCTTGGCGCTCCTGGGTGCAGCTGCTGCCGCCCTGCTGTGGCTGCGGACCCAGGCCTCCCTGTGCTCTTGGGGGCCAGAAGCAGCCAGGAGCCTCGCCCTCCCAGGCAGAGCTACTGCGGCTTAAGCTGTGGCTGCGGACCCAGGCATCTCTTCACTCTCCAGGGGCGGCCCGTCTGCCCGCGCAGGCTCAGAAATGCCTGGCTCTGCTGCCTGGTCTCTCCCCGCTCCTGGTGCCTGCTCCACGGGCTCTGAAATGCTTGCTCCCACTGCCTGGCGGCTCCCCGCTCCCAGTGCCCAGTCTGATCTCAGAGCAAAGTTGAGGCCAAGGCCGGCGCTACTGCAACCCGGCCAGGTGTGCGCACACTCGGGCAGCGCTGACGTGCCAGCCCCCTGCTGCCTCGGCCCCCTCTGGACTTCTGGGCGCCAATGAGCACAGGAGGGAGGCCGAGATGAGGGCTGAGGGCAAACCAGCATTGACCTGCAGGTGCCCCTCAGCACGAACAGCCTGGGTGCTCTAATGTTGTTCCTTCTGTTTTACTTCTAACTGCCCTTCCTCCTCCTCCCCTCTGACTCTCTCATTGCATAATTTTGCCCCCTCTTTCTCTCCTTCATCTTCTCCCCTTTTTCTTGCCTCATCTCATTTCCTCCCTCTGTACCTAAAAAGTTTTGTATTTGGGCTAAAAAATGAACCCAACCATTTCTCTTCAGCCATCTTCCAGCATTAAGCTTCTAATACAGAAGAGTTTGTGAGCTACCAACAATTTGAAGACATTTCTTCTAGTTCTACTCCTGCTGCATTCCCCTCCTGTTTAGTCCACTCACCAGATTATTTTTGGGTTGTTCCCTTGCTCTCTCTCCATGCTTCCACCCACCAGGACCTGGTAGATCTTACCCTCCTCACACTGCTCATTCAGCTGGTTAGAAATGAAGCCCTTCCCACCAGTGAGAACTGGGAAACATGGTTGGGACTAAAGAATTCTCTATCTCCCCTTTCCTCATTGTTAGTCTTCACTTCACTCTCTCCAGGAGCACCTAAAACAGCTCGTGACTAAACATCCCATTTGGAGCCCTGAGCAGAGACTGTGATCCACTAGATTAGGGCCTTGGGCTTCAAGCCTATATGTATTTCAAGCCTTTGGACTATATTTAGACTTTCTGGGTACTCATGCAGAGGCTAACTACACCATGCTTTTTCCCCTAGGCCAGACCATAATGAAAGATGCTTTACCTTGAAAACTAAATGGACAGGACTTGATCACAAAGCATCGCCTCTGCCCTGGACTCCAGAGGATTGTTCCTCACTGCTCACTTGACATATCTATTAGGTATCTCAGACTGGAAGGTCTGAAACTTAACTCTCTCTTCCATAATCTGCCTCCCCTTAGCCTTCCCTTTGTC